TACCTCCTACTTTCCCTTCTAAGAGGTTCAGTGTGGCTGGATTGGTGTTGAGGTCTTTGATCCATTTGGACTTGAGTTTTGTGCACAGCGACAGACATGGGTCTATCTGCAGTCTTCTACACACCCTCATCCAATTGTGCCAGCACCATTTGTTGAAGATGCTGTCCTCGCCCCCATTGTATTCTTTTTAGCTGTTTTGTCGAAAATCAGGTGTTCATAGGTGCGTGGATTAATATCAGGATTTTCAATTCGATTCCATTGGCCTACCTGTCTATTTTTGTGCCAATACCAGGCTGTTTTCAGAACTATAGCTCTGTAGTAGAGCTTAAAGTCAGGGACGGTAATGCCTCCTGAAGTTCTTTTATTGTACAGAGTTGTTTTGGCCATCCTGGGTCTTTTGTTTTAAAGGACCACCAGCCTATAATTCACACCACCAGAGGAACTAGGTTACAATGTGTATTCTAAGAGATTCATATAAAGTCCCTCACAGAAGGGGTAAGGGACAAGTCCCCCAGAGCACATGGGAAGTGGGGGGGGGGCAGTGAATGGAGAGAGAAGTAGGAGAAAGAGAAGGGGAGGAGAGGAAAATACGTGTGACTAGGAAGATTGAGTCAGGGTAGGAATAGAAGACAGGAGAGAGAGAGAGAGACAGACAGACAGACAGAGAGAGAGAGAGAACATAAAAGAGGGAGCCATTATTGGTTTGAAAAGAAAACTGAACCTAAAGAAAGGTCTAGAGACCACAAGACTGCCGCCAACTAACAATTTGAGCAACCGTGGAAAGGCTACCATAAATGCCATTCCCGGATAGTGAGACCAACAACTAACTTATCCACCATCATGGAGCCCTCATCTAGTACCAGTTGGAAACAGAAGCAAACACCCATAACTAAACACTGAGTCGAACCAGAATCCAGATGCAGAGAGAGAGGACAAGACCAGGTTGCAGAAACACATAGAGACAGCTGACCTGAACAAGGAGCTAACGGGCCCCCAGAGTGATAGCTGGGAATCCAGCATGGGACTGACTCAGACCTCTGAACATGGGTCTCAGCTAGAAGGACTGAGCAGTCTAAGGGACCTCAGACAGTGGAACCAGGATGTATTCCTAGTGCACAAAAGGACCTTGCGGACACATCCCCCATGGAGGGATACTGCCTTAACCTAGAGACAGGATAGAAGTCCTAGTCCCTACTTCAAATGACTTGACAGATCTACCTGGATGGTATTGCCCTACATGTGGAATTGGGGTGGGGGGATGGGAGGAGAGGGTGGTCAGGGTGCATGTGAGGGGGCAGAGAGGGTAAGAGGGAGGGAGGGAGGGAGGTAGAAGGAACTGGGATCGACATGTAAAATAAAAACAAATAATTAAAAAAAAAAAAAACCCAATCAACAGGATGGATAATGGAGAAGCAGAGAACAAACACAGTATACAAAGGCCTCCCAGCGGCTCCCGCCAAGTCCTTCAATGGAGAACTCCTGTATTAACAGTGTTCCATCTAATTTGGCCCAAAGACAGAGGCCGGGCCAGGTGACTGCTCCTTCCCAGCCTGGGAGATGACCGCCTCTTTGAATTAGGAAATAATAGCCCATTTGGCCATTCCCTTTTATTGATAAAAAGCATCACGCCGTGAGGTTCACAAACCTCCTACGAGATCATTTTAGATCTGGCTGATTTAATGTGGTTGATGCTCATGTTGGATCTGAATGTGGGCTTTGAACAATGAGCGAGTAATAAGGCACTGTGTTTGTGGCCATTTTTCATTTTCTTAGAAAATACCCTCTTCAGAACCAAGCCAGCCGAGAGGCCTTTACTTGGCAGCCACATGCTGTCCATAACCAGGTCTGAGACGATTTCAAGAAGCAGCCAAGAAGGCAAAGACTCAAGCAAGGCCTCAGGGTGGACGGAAGCATGTGGAGGTGAGATGGAGGGCTTCCCCAGCACAGGTTTGCAAACAGCTGAGGACCCATGGTATGTCTGCCATTTTCTTTCTTCTTTGGGCCAAGGTCTTCTGTGTGGGCGCCTCAGACTGCTGTGCCGTTACAACCGGCTTCTTCGACCATCAGTTTGAACAAGCCCTATATTCCAGGTACCTTCTTGTGCAAGAGAGAGTACAAAGAGTTTTTGGAACGAGGGATGGCTTTTGTTTTCCGGGATTTTTTTGTAAAGAGTCTTGGAGGTAGTGATCTCATCCAACTTAATTAAGTCGTGACTAGCTGCTGTGCGAGGCCTCAAGCAGCCAGCAGACACAGCACATTCCAACCCGTGCAGCAAGGCAGGATTTAAGGGACTCATTTCCCACAGATAAGCGGCAGTGACGCACGCTCAATTTTATGTCCTCCTCCGTCCAAACAGGCAGGGAAGATACATGATCACTGCCTGCCCTCCCGATTCCCACAGAGCAGCAAGACACATGTGTCATCCTTGGGCACTGCAGAGAAAAATGAATTGAGGAATCACAGGCTAGTGTCCTGGGGAGAAAAGGCTAAAGACACAACCTTAGTTAGGCACACCGCAGGCGCTCTTCATCGGCGGATTAAGTCACTGATGTCTCACGCTTTGCTTCCGAGCTTGGATGTTCTTACATCCAAGGACAGATGACACAATGCATTAAATGACAGCACTTCTCCCAATCACAGCTGAGAGAAGTTATCTGTCTGTCCTCTCCACTCACCCAACTGGAGTGAAAATGTGCATCTTCTTGGCATATGCTCCCTAAAGATCACTCCCTCTGTCCATCCACCTTGCCTTCTACGCACCCGCTCTCTCTCTGGACCTTTTCATTCTCATCGGGCCCACCAGTCCTGCTTTTTATCTTGCCAAACCGCTTCCAACCCACTCTCGGAGCAGAGTACATATAAAAAAAAGATGGCGTGGCTGTTTTCTTTTGTCTTTCCAGACTACATCGTGGGGGCAGTGTCACAGAGAGCGCTCTCATGGAAATGGCGGAACGTTGGGGCCCCCGATCAACAGCCAGGCTTGGCAGAAGTCCCAGAAAGCCAAGGCCACGTGAGCACCTTCCTTACTTGAATTGTTCTGTGTCACGGTCATCATGTGAACCACTGTGGTGGCCACTGGTCACCAGAGGACCCCGACCCTGAAAAGTCACATTATCAACCTTGTTTAAATAGTGGTATCGCTAAACCCAACTGCAGGAGGCAACTTGTAAGGATAAAACTAGTTTAAAGATGGATAGACAGACAGACACACACACACACATACACACACCTCACTAATCAAGGTAAGTCACGAGCAAAAAAATACACATGACCTATAAAAGTGATTCTGCTCTAAGAGATACAGAGATACTTTCTGAAGTAAACAGGGCCAGCATTCAAGTGGGACTGGAATTGATAAGGCAATATATATATATATATATATATATATATATATATAAAATCACTGAACAAATCAGCCGCATTGTCCCAGCCCACAGACAAGGGTACCCTGACCAGCAGGCGTGACTGTACCCATCTGCTTGGCAGGAACAGTGTGTTACTATGAGGAATGTGTGGGCTGTCTAATATAGCCAGTGAAGCTCATTCTACTTCCAGAGTCTGTGCCCGCCATGCAGCCTAACAAAGGCAACGGGGCTTGCTTTCTTTCTTTAAGGATTTATTTTATCTGTGTGTGTGTGTGCGCACGCATGCGTGCGTGCAGGCGTGTGTGAGAGAGACAGAGACAGACAGAGCAAGCGAGCTCAGGTGCCTGGGGAGGCCCAGAAGAGGACATCAGATCCCCTGGAGCTAGATGGGCTCTGGGAACCAAACTCAGGTGTTCGGGAGTAGATGCGAACACTCTTATCTGTGGAACCATCTCCTCAGCCCTCAGTTACCAGTCTTCTAAGTGATCTGCCCTGAATGGGGAGATGTCAGGATCACCCACCCAGAGCATCCCCATCACCCAGCAGGTACTCTTTTCTCCGGAAGCTGATGAGTTAGCATTCCACAGGAAAACCTCCCATGAGCTCTGTTTGTCCATCAGTCAGCCTGGATTGGTCCCTGTGGAATGGCCAAAAAGTCTTCCAGAAAGAATGGAGGTGTGAAACCAGTGATGCCTAGCCACGTTAAACCTCAGGAGAGCTCTCCCCAGCTTGGTAAACTTGTGTCTCCAAAACAGCGGGGAGGTAAGATATTGCTTTTAGAGAAATGACCTCTGGTCCAGAAGACCCTTTCTCACCCAGATCATACCAGAGGCATAAAGAAGACACGGACAGAGGACAGGGCCGAAGAGATGGCTTGGGAGTTAAGGGTGTGTGTGCTGCTCTTCCAGGACCCGGGTCTGGCTCCCAGTACCCAGGCCAGGTGGCTCACATCCTGTAACCTCAGCCTGGGGGGACTCTGATGCCCTCTTCTGGCCTCTATGGGCACTGCACTCATGTGACACATATTCACACAGCAGATGAAGCGTGGGAGTGTGCACCTGAGACCTAGCGACTGGGAAGCGGAGGCAAGAGGGTTACAAGTTCAAGACCATCCCGGACTAAACGGCAAATCTTCATCTTAAAACCTCTCCTGCTCCAAAAATGAAATGAGAGAGAGACAAAGTAGACTGTGGCTTAAAAGAAATAGTAACACAAATGAGACCAAGCAGGAACAAAAGGCAAGCATAAAACAGAAGTCCCAAGGATAAGGTGTAAAGACTACCACAGGACAGAAATTAGTAATTTCTTACGATTATTAAAAACCAAAGTAGGAGACTCAAGGGTACAGACTACAGCTGAAGATGAGTTCCACGTGCAACAATGATCACTTGAGAAAGAGACAGTAGGAATTTTTCAAATTGCTCAGGAAGACGGATCTTACCGGATGAGCTAGGCAACAAAGAAGTCTAGCTACACAAGCTATTTTTCCGCCCACTATCCACACCCATGAATCGATTTCTTTCTTTTTTCTTTTTTCTCTCCTAACTCTCTAAGAGTAAACAAAGACACTTGGCGCCCACCCTCATCCAGGCTAAGACCTCCCGAACCTGCCACCAGAGATGCTGGCAGACTAACCGTGAGTGCCTGGATCTCCTCCTCCGCTTCCGCGGTCGTCTCCTCCAGCTCCGTCTTTGCCTGGCGAAGCTGGCTCTCCAGGGCCGCCCGGGCTGCCTGCAGGGCTGTCAGCTGGGACTCGCGCTCCTGCAGGGACAGCTGTAGCTCTGTGAGCTGGCGCTTCAGCTCCAGCTTCTGCTCCTCGTGCTCCAGGCTGACCTGAGGAGGAGTTGAATGCTCAGTGGACGGAGCACAGAGACTGTGAAGAGACGGCAGCCCCTCAGTGTGGTCAGAGGGGGCCACATGCATCTCAGAGCAACGGCACTGAGAAATACAGCAGGGCGCACAGTGAGCTAGCTCTACCATGGGTTCTGCCTCCAAGGATTCATTCAAACACAGAATGGAAATATCCAGAGACTGCGTCTGTACTGAACATGCCTGAACACGTAACAGGTCACATACATCTTCCCCTAAACAGGACAATGTGGCTTTTTTCAAGACAGGATTTCTCTGTATGGCCCTGGCTGTCCTGGAACTCACTCTGTAGACCAGGCTGGCCCCAAACCAGAGACGCGCCTGCCTCTGCCTCCCGAGTGCTGGGATTAAAGGCGTGCACCATCAGCAACCAGTGTAGCTTCTTGGAGAGCAGCTGCATAGCAATGGCATATTGTGTGACTCAAAAGCACACGTGAGATGTGTGTAAGCCATATGCAAATGATTCCTATCTTCCAATGCCCTTGAGCAGCTACAGGGTTGGGTATCACTGAGGGGAGTCCTAGAGCCGTGCCCCGATGACCACCCCTAACTCACGGACACTCAGATGCTTAGGAAGGCTTCCAAAGAAAGGCAGGATGGTGGGAGTCTCGGATGAGGGAAACATTTAAAGGTATGTGGATATAGATAACCACTATTAGCGGAAAAGATACCTTTATAATTAGAATGCAAATGCCACAAGGGGCTGGATTCTACTTCTCCTAAATATTCTCATGCTGATTTATTTCCGTCAGATATCCAGCATGAGTGTCCTATTCTGAGGTAAGCATTTCTCACCACCCATCCATCGACTCGATGTCCTAGGCGTGGAGAGGAAAGCCAGCCTCTACCTGCACGCTGAGGAGAAAGATGAAGTCAACCACCCCCATTCTGTAGGAAGGACGCCGTAGAAACAGCAGCGCTGTGGGAGCTGACCCCAGTGCGTTGAAATTCTGCTAAGCATTTACAGGAGTGGGGCAGGGCGTGAGAGGGTCGGAGGAGGAGATGGCTCAGCAATGACGAGCATGTGCTGTCCTCGCAGAGGACCGAGCTCAGTCCCCAGTGCCACATCAGGCAGCTCACAAGCATCTGTGACTCCAGCTCCGTGTGTTCTGACACCCCCCACGGGCCTCGCTAGGCACAAACTGATCCAAAGAGCAACAAGCTTCCAGGGCCACCAGTCGGGTGTCCTAGATGAGCTACCCAGAGCAGAGCAGCTTCAGTGAGGTGGACCCTACACAGAAAGGCAAAGCAAGTGACTTTAGTGCCAGATCTGACGCCTTCTTCTGGCCTCTACAGGCACTACAAATCCATGGCACACATAAATATAAAGAAAAATAAATTGTTTAAAAAAAAAAAACAACAACAACAAAACAGTAACAATTTACAGGAGTCAAATCAGATGGAGACATGTGAAACAGGGTTTACCTTGAGCCTAGCATGCGCAAGACCCTGGCCACGTTCGACTGGGACTTTTTTTTCAGCAGGGAAAGCGAGGCATCTAAGAGGTACGGAAGTAAGCAGAGTGCAGCAGAGTGTGCTGCCCTGGCCAGCATGGACAAATTCATCCCAGGACCATGCCAAGCCAGCACACCCACTGAGGGATACAGGGGACATATCCGGCAGAGAAGGCACCCGGAAAAGGTAACATCCAAGTCCCAGGTCACCAGAACAAAGAGAAGAAAGAACTGCAAAAGAGGTAAGGAGGTGTGGCTAATTTGCATGGAGCAGGGATCAAAGAGAGCTGAGTTATCCATGGTGTTTCCAAATGGGCGCCTTCCAGAGAGTGCCACCATCCTCCAGAAGAGGCAGGGAGCCGGGGGAGGTGGGGTGCTTAAGACTAACTACTGACCTTCACCCTCATGGGAGACCCAAGTGCAGAGGTCTAATGTCTTGGGCAACAGCGGCTCAGAAACAAAAGTGGAGGGCGCGGTTGCCAATCTAGATCTGTCCTTCCTTCTTTAATGCTTCGGCAAGAGCTGGAGCCAAGAGGCTGAGACCCTCAAGCGAGGAAGATGGAGTGGCCATGGAAGACAGCACTTCCAAGACACCGAGCCGAGCACCGGAGCTGCTCCAGGCTGTTCCCCGAGAACGTGATGAGGGATGAGGGAGGCGTTACTGTCACCTTCATTCTACAGTCAGGCAATCTGTGTAGCACTCAGAGATCAGGCCACCGAGCAAATGTTACACAGCTTTTAAAAAAAAAAAAAAAAAAACTACAAAATAAAAAGATGGTAAGGCTGGCGCTCGAACCCAGGAAGTATGGTGGGAGGTGCGTGTTTGCAAACACGACATCTTACTGTTTGTCTCATTAAAGTGCCAGCTGTCAGTGCAGGCTGGGACTCTACCGGCGAGCCTGAAAATTCCCCAGATGTCCTTTGGCAAAACCGTGAGACAGGGTGAGAGCCAGTCGAGGGGAATCAGGTGGCCAAATGCTGGGCACTTCAAGCAGGGCCCGAAGTTCCCAGAGGGACCCACAGCAGCACTGAGGAGGAAGCTCAGGGCCCTCTGAGGTGAGGAAGGCTTGAGGAGGAGGCCTCTGCCCTGAATCTCAGGCCCAGCATGTGGCCCAGGGAAGATGGACTGGCCCTGTTCTATTTAGAGCTAAACTCCCAGGGAGAACGAGAGCCCTGGGCCTCTCTTATGAAACCTACCATCCTCCTGGTGGGGGAAGCAGTGAGCTGTTCGAAAAAGAAACAGCAACAAGTTTCCCAGGGGGACACGGGCTTCCCAGGCGAGCTACTGCACTCACAGGCTCGGGGAGACAGACCAGTGGGAAGGAGAGATGAAAGACAGCTGACTTGTCCAGGCTGAAGGGGTGTGTGTGTGTCTGTCTGTCTGTCTGTCTGTGTTGTTTGCACCGACACCCTTACGGCTGACTCTACTGAGAAAAATGAAAGTGTAGCCTGGACCAATCCCCTGATCCATTCACACAGAGTGCTCGCCCCATGCCCCTCCCGATTCCAGGTTTACTGGCTCATGACTATGGCTCACTCGGGAGGCTGGGACAGGGTGGACACTGTCTCAAAGAACCTGCAATAAAAAGCTGCTGAAGATGATGCCAGAGAGCGCATCACAAGGATCTGGGAGACGCTAGTGGAGGGGACCGGTACCTCGACCAGCTCTGGGAATGGGACTATGTTCGGTCTTTGGAGCCCAGCTAAAACAGACGTGGGGAGCCGTGCGTGTCCCTTCTCCACGGTTTGACCCTCTCCAATGCTCAACCGTCTTTTCCTTAGGAAAGATAATCTGCTCTTTGGCAGACGCCATGGTAAACATCTGAGCACCTACTGTGCATGTGATACTAGCCTCCCTCCTGGCCCAGGTGTCTGACTGTAAGGAACAGCTTTCCAGGCCTGTTTATTTGGGACCAGCTCACCAACCCGACACACCCCTGCTCCTAGGTCAGGAACACTCATCTGATATTACCACTGTATACCTTTGCTACCCACCTGATAGTACCACTGTATACCTTTGCTACTCATCATCTGATATTACCACTGTATACCTTTGCTACTCATCATCTGATATTACCACTGTATACCTTTGCTACTCATCATCTGATATTACCACTGTATACCTTTGCTACTCATCATCTGATATTACCACTGTATACCTTTGCTACTCATCATCTGATATTACCACTGTATACCTTTGCTACTCATCATCTGATATTACCACTGTATACCTTTGCTACTCATCATCTGATATTACCACTGTATACCTTTGCTACTCATCATCTGATATTACCACTGTATACCTTTGCTACTCATCATCTGATATTACCACTGTATACCTTTGCTACTCATCATCTGATATTACCACTGTATACCTTTGCTACTCATCATCTGATATTACCACTGTATACCTTTGCTACTAGCTGACACACAGTAGGTGTTTAACAAATACACAATGATACCTGCATCTAGCTTCCTGGTTTAACGGGAAACTCAGCATTATCCCCAACCATACTTGCTACATTCTCCTCTGAAGGGCATGGCTTCTTCCTAGTTTTCCTCCATCAGGCAAAGCTTAACCTGGTTGTCTTTTAATCTCCCGTCATTGTAAGACAGGCCTCTGCCTCAGCCACAGGCCTGTAGCCAGCCCACGCATCTGCCCACGCATGCACTGCACATCTCGTGGCCCTCATTAAACCTCGCTGAAGGGGGAACTGCTCAGCCACGGCTGCACAGATTCATCAACCTCCACGACCCCAGCAGAGCCCTAAAAGGAGAAACATCACCACTGACTCTTCAGAGACGAGGAGCCTGAAGCACGAACACAATTATCTATCAACAGAGAACCAAGGGAGCTGGCAAGATGGCTCAACCGGCTAAAGTGCTAGCCGCCAAGCCTGAGCAACCTGAGCTTGGCCTCCAGAGCCTACGCGGTAGAAGAAGAGACCCAAATTCCCCAAAGCTGTCCTCTGACTGCCGCGGGCACGCTGTGGTATGTGTGGACACCCATGTGCGCGCACACACCCAACCCTGTTTTCTAAACTAGTGATAAATAAAGGCGAATTCCAACCTGGATCCACGTGGGCCACTGTATGCCCTTACTCACGGTGTGCAAGCCCTCCAGTGTGTACGGATTTGTGCTTGGGGACTGGCTGGCTGGCTGGCTGGCTCGGGGACTGGATTCCCCCAGCAAGACCTGTCCAGGGACCGCCCTTCATCCTCACCTCCCTCAGCCTCGTCTCCAGCTCCAGCAGACGGTTCTTGTCGCTGTGGTCTTGATGGCTGATCTTCTCCAGCTGCTCTTCCAGCTTTCGGTTCTGGGCCTCTAGTTTGCCCGCCTGCGTCTCCAGGTAAAATTTCTGCTGCCTCAGTTCTGAAATCATCTCTTCCTGGGCCTTCCTGGTGTGGGGGGAGGGGTTCCAAACAGAATCAACAGAGGTACAGCAGGCAGAAAGGGAGACTGTGCACCTTCAGTAGCACCCCAAGGTCATCGCCCTCCTAAGCCGGCCTCACAGGCGTGGGCCCGCATGGGGAGTCAGCCCCTCATCTACAGGGTTAAGTACGGTCAAGAACCAGATGCTACCATTTCAATCTTTTGATAGACCTTTTCGTTTTTTTGTTTTTGTTTTTTTTTTTTTTTTTTTCTTTCTTTCTTTCTTTTAGAGCCTATATACAGAGTAGAAGGAATGGCCTCCTTTGAGTAGAATCGTCTTCTGAGAGCTCACAACATGCTCTGTGAAAGACGCTCCTTCTAGAACTCTGGGGTGCTTCCTCCAACAGGGCACGTGGCTGACCTGGGATCACACAAGGTCACCTCCAGCTGATTAACAGCAGGCCAGGACGGCAACAGGGACAACAACCATCCAGAACCAAACTATAATCAGCCTCGGCAGCTGCCGGAAAGTACCATGAGGCCTGTTAGAGATCTAAAGTACTTAAGCACACCTGACTCCTGCCGGGTGGTGATGGCGCCCGCATTTAATCCCAGCACTAGGGAGGCAGAGGCGGGCGGACCTCTGTGAGTTCAAGGTCCAGCCAGGGCTACCCAGAAAGACTCTGCCTCAAAAAAAAAAAAAAAAAAAAAAAAAAAACAAAGCAAAACAAAATAAAAGGGTGACTGACTTGAGAAGCCTGCGGAGGTGAGACCATTCAAAGGAGGGCAGGACTACGCAAGTGACGCACATCTGTGACTGGCCCTGTGGCGGGTCCACCGGACAAAAGCAGCACAGTAAACAGGCTTACATGTTCCTCTGGGTGAAGAGGCTGCTGTTTGCCGCAAGCTTGTTGGCCTCGGACAGTTCCACAATCCTCTGCTCCAGGGATCTGATCTTGGAATCCATGGCGTTGATCATCTGGAACACAGGAGACCTCTGGCACCTCACACACACCACACACGTGGACAGTCACATCCCACAGGGGTGAGGGTGGGTTTTGGGACCCAAACTGAAAGTGTCCTTACAAACAAAGGTCCACACAGGCCGACTGGCCGGAGGTAACAAGAGACACAGGTGTCACTGCTCAATGGATGGCGTTCATCGATGGATGAACACATGGCTGTGGGTGGCGCTCAGTTACTTTTCCAGCTGAAGCCAGGGTCTCCACACTAAGTGGGCCTAGCCGGGAAACTGCCGTCCTGCAGAGAAGCAGGGCTCACTACATCCCAGTCTCTCGTGTATACACCCTGGGCCTTGAACACATAACCAGGAACACATTACAACCTATTTCTCTGCACTGGCACTTTCTCCTTCAGAGCTCAGGGGAGGAGGGCGGACCCAGCGTCTTCGTGCACGCCACGCACGTGCTTCAGCTAGTCCTTCCCTCAGGGAATTCTGGGATGGAAAGCCCCCACAAACGTCTGGGATAATATGGATTTACATGCATCACAGACCAGTCCCGTGCCCAGCAAGTTTGAAGGGAGAGAAATCAGCAAATTTGAGAGAGAGAGAGAGATGTGGGAGACTGAGGGCCGCTGGGTGCCGTCCGTCCACAGCCCTTCTTAAGGACCGTCTATCTGCAGAGTCAGTCCCTGGAGACCATGAATCCCACCCCTGTTCCTCGGGGACAGGAAGCTGACAAAGCTCCCCAGTACCCATCAACCCCGTAGGATGTCACGGAGAGGACAAGCCACCGACCGGATGAAATGGCGTGATTCCAGGCCTCACTACCTACCGCCTTCTGCTCGCTGAGGATTTTGCCCTTCTCGTGGGCCTCCTCTTCCTGCCTCTGCATCATGTTCTCCAGGCTCTCCTTGTCGGCCAGGTCTTTCTTTATCTGATTGTCCAGCACCTACGGAGACATAAGAAGTGAGCCACCCAGGGAGCTAAACTGGGGGAGGAGGGGAAGAGGGAGCAGGGGCCCCAGGGGCAAAGAGAAGGTGAAACCTGAGCAGAGTCTACTTATTCACCAAGATGGCATGAAGACAAGAACATTGCCACCAGCTGCCCAAAACCAGGCGCCCGGTGCGAAACCGGGCAGCTGCAGAGACCAGAGAGCCATGACCAGAACGAAGCTGTTTCCAGAACGAGTGAGTGGGAAGAGAGAGTGCTCAGCACCTAGTCCTGGAGAGGGAAGCGCCCAGCGGTCGAGAACATTACCTGGGGGTGTTTTTTCTTAGCCAATATACCAGTGCTTTTTCAGAACATGCCTTTCTCCTAATTTGAACAAAATGAATTCTGGCCTCTCCCGAGCCGTGCACCTCAGAAGGACAGGAGCTGAAGGGCCAGAAAGTCTGGGTGATTGGGGCTGATGCCCTGACACAGCTGGCAACAACAGGGTGCTGCCCACCAGTATGTGGGTGGCAAAGATTATATAAAGACAGGGGGCAAAGATGTCTTTTTCCTCTGATGTAACCGGGACTAAAAATCCATGGGGAAAAAAAGACACTGTTCTCAGGAAGAGAGAAATTCTGTGTCCTCGGGGCTCGGGCTGCCTCGGGGAGCACCTATTCCCAAAGAGGAAAAAATAAAACAGTAACGGCATCACCAACCCACCAGCTTGATCTAATGCTCTGCAAGGCACTCGGCCCTCCTGGTCACCAAAACCACGGAGGGTCGGGGGGGGAAAGAAGGTACTGAACTCCCCCGCCTTTGACCAGGAGAGAGCCTATGCCTCTCATCACAAAGGCCTCACTTTGCTTTTGTGAATAACACCCACTGCCATCCGACATCCGACAGGAGGATGGAAATAAAGCTGCCAGAATCGGGGTCACAGGCGGGATTTGAAATGTGCCTGCCCCACAACGTCTATTGTGAAGGGCCCTCTAATGGCTTCCAGGTCCATCGCCCCGAGAAGAGAGCCAGTCAGCAGGGAATGGTCCGCGTGGTGAAGGGAAGAACAAATATCAAAGAGAGCTTTAAACTAGCATTCACTGATGAAGAAGAAAATAACCATAGAATGAAAGTTGGTAGAGAAGACCGGAGGTGGCGAGCGGGGTCATGAGGGGTGGGAACACTCTGTGGGGCAATAAAGGGACCGTTCTGTTGGATGTCTGAGGGCTATTCTAAAATTATGCACAAGAGCACAGCGGATCCAGGGTATGAACAGAGCTACCACCGAAATGGCCTTTCAGAAGCTGGAACCAGTGACCCAATGTGGGAGAGCTCACAAGAATCAGCTCATGTGGACCCCAGTAGAGAAGGCAGAGCGAAACAGCTTTTCTGCGACCGTTCCTGGGTTGTCTAGCTTCAAGGGACCAGACAGAGACTGTATCACACACACTATACCCAGGCTAAGGGAGCCCCTTCTCCAGGAAGCTCATGGGAGGCGAGAAGGCTGCTCAGGACGACTGTCCTAAGTCAGACACTGACCCTGGCAGCGACGAGTTGGCCAACGACCTGCATGTGGTCAAGAGGGAGGGACAAGCCTCCACCCACAAGGAGAGCATCTCGGCTTTGACTGGGTTTGACTGGCAGGAAGTTGATCACAGTGAGGGGGAGGGAGATGAAAGACAGACATGGTCTTTCACAGATACGTCACAGCATCATCATTCAAACCCCACAGTGGAACCCCCCCCACACACACAGGGGGTCACTGTCATCATGAGGGCATGCTGGGAGACGCTACAAACTCTAAACGGTGAGTTCCATAAATCTAAGCGGTCACACTGCCTTTGGGGCCACATCTGGACATTTTCCTGCAGTCCTCTAATAAAAGTTAGTGAACTTAACCACAGGTAAGAGAGAGTGGCAGGGTGGTGGTGGCGGCGGCGGCGGCGGCGGTGTAGCTGGGCGAGGACGCACGCACTGGGCTGGCCAGGAGACGGCCTCTTAAATGCTGAGGGTGCAAACAAACACAGGTCAGGGTCGTCACAGACACTGACAGCCTCTTGTAATGTGTGGACAAAGAAGAGGCCACATAGGGTTCTGATGGCCGAAGTCACGGGACCTAGGCTCAGGTCTGAGGGGATCAAGGGCAGAGTAAGCAAGAATGACTAAAGCAAAGTTGTTGATAACCGGAGCCATTGGCTGAGCCAAATGAACCGAAGCTTCCGTCTCAACAGCCAGAAGTGGGAAAGAAGGCCGATGGCAAAATCCCCCTTAGTGACTGGCCAAAGACGACGGGCAGCCTGACAAAAGCCAAGCTTTGGAGCACCGGTCATCAGGTAGACGTGGCTCCTTTGGTTAAAGAAATGAAAGGCAGACCAGCGGCTAAATATACACAATCAAAAACCGCCTTCAATAACCTACTAAAGTTTGGGAGTAAAGCAAATAGAGTATCTGCCGCCGAGATATCCAACAGATCCCTGAAGTTAAAACCTCAACAGGCTGGTCTGCCAGCAGTTTAGACACAGCTGAGAGAGGGCTGGCAGAGTGGAAAGCAAGGAAGCAGAATGTAGCCAGGCCACAGCACAGGGAGACAGAGAATCAAAAGCATGGGAGAGGGTGGATCCCAGAAGATCCAGCCCAGGTCTGTAGTTCTCAAAATGGCAGCAAAGACAGAAGATGCAAATCATACTTGAAATATATTGAACACTTGAAATATGATTAACCTGGGCTTTGAGTTAAAAAAAAATGTGCCAATCCACTCAAAATTTCAAATGAGATAAATTAAAAGAGCCCAACATCCCAACAACTTACAGAAAGACTTCGGAAAAAATAAAGATGGAGAGAAACTCACGCACGCGCGCGCGCACACGCACACACACACACACACACACACACACACACACACACACACACACACACACAGGCTTGGGTTCATTCTCAAGGAGGTAACAGAAGATTGACAGATGACTTCAAAATAAAAGCCAAAAGGCAGTGGGGTTGGGCAGCCAGAGGCGAACAAGGTAAGCCTAAGGATGAGGCCGCCACGTGTATGTAGGCAGCACAACTTGAACTCGGGGAGTGGCTGGAGGTCGTATGAAGGAGTGGGGGGGGTATGGGTAAAAATGATCAAAATGCATTGTACGATACATGCAAAATTCTCAGGTAATTAAAAGGTATTCTTCTTGAAAAGAAAGAATGGGGTGGACATTGTTACACAGGACAAATAGACTAATTTAAAAATGCACATTCAAGAATATGTAACGCAAAAGTGGCAGGGGACTGTGGTGGCTGTTTGAGAGGTGAAAGGGAACTAACAGGTGTGGGGGAAGACACAAGAGACCGTAATGGAAAGGGTGCCAAAAAAGTGAATGAAGGACATGTTAAAAAAAAAAAAAAAAAAAAAAAAAAAAAGTCTATTCTGTGCCATGATAGATACCATTTCTGAAAAACGAGGCTAAGGAGCTAGAGTGCTGGCTGCTCTTTTGTGGAGAACCTGAGTTTGCTTCCCAACACTAATGTCAGGTGACACATAACCATCTGTAACTCCAGCTCCAGGAAAAAAAAAAATCCAACACCCTCTTCTGGCCTCTTCAGGTATTACACACACACACACACACACACACACACACACACACACACGCGCACACACACATGTTTGCGTGCAAACTGCAACATAGAAAAATTGTAAATGAGGCTAAAACACGTTTTCAGAACGACACTAGAGCGTCACAAAATTAAGTTCTCAAGGATGTACTTTAAACCAAAGGGAGAGGTTCCGAAGGAAGCCAGAGATGAGAAAGAAATCTAAATAGCCACGCCCCGAGTCGCAGTGAAAGTGAATTCAGGACCACGGTATGGAATGAAGACTATTTTAGGCTCCAGGCTTGAAAGCCTCAAATCGGGCAGTAAGGACAGCGTATACCCCGGCCCGCCCTTTGCTCTAGCAAGCGGTGAGCCCGAGTGCCCGTGCATGCAAGAAGCCGCATGCGTGCTGTGGACGGCGGCAGACAAGAGCGGCGGGGTGGCTTTACTTTAATCTTCTCCTCGTAGTGCTCTTCTTTCTGTTTCAAGTGTACTTCCAGGTGCTGCGCCGAGACCTGAGCCTCCCGGTGTTTCTCCTCCAGTTCCTGGACACAAAGAACAGACAGTCAGGCGTGCTCGGGGGGACGGACGCCACCAACGCACGTGAGACGCCCACAGGGAACACAACTGCCATGGGCGCACAGGTGACAGGCAGCCGCTGCTCCTCCAATACTAGACCAAGGGTCTTGGGAAGGAAGGCGCCACTGTGTGGCCCTGGCTCTCCCAAGCCCAAGCAGACAGACAGACAGACAGACAGACACACACACACACACACACACAAGACAGACAGACAGACACACACACACAAGACAGACAGACACACACACACACACACAAGACAGACAGACACACATACACAAGACAGACAGCCACACACACACACACACACACGAGACAGACAGACAGACAAACACACACACACACACACACACACACACACACACAGCTGGTGGGCTGTGAGACCGGATCGGTTGCTGTGAGAGACAGGGCAGCGGCTCCACTTTACACAGAGAAATCAAGGTAACAAAGCAACACTTGAAGAGTTCAGCATGACACAGAGACCCTGACCACTGTCCTGAGCCTCGGGCTGTTTTCAACGGTTAATGTTCATCGGCCTTAAATGAGAAAAGGGATTTTAATTCGTTATGAAGATAAACAATACTACGGGTCCCCCTCATTCATGAAGGCATTGCTCAAGAACCCTCGCTAAAAAGGAAAGCTAATGTTACAGTTAGCGTAAGTGTAAAAATAACCGTGCCGTTTGGCGTGACTGCTGTAAATGACTGGCATGTGGAGAGTGTGAATGCTGGGGACGGACACGTGATGCCATGCTTACGTGAAGTAGCGCTATGGGGACTGGAGAAGAACGGAAACACGGGCAGTGGCAAAGAAAATGCATGCGTGCACACGAGCGAGGAGAGAACTTGGCATCACACGAGAAGCTCGAGTTGAAGGTTCTTTTGCTTTTCTGCCTTTAAGCAAAATTATGACTCATCTGAAAATTACACCAACTCATCTGCCTGTGTATTTTAAACCGACCTTGCAGGAAACACGGCGTCCAAGTCACTAAAAGGCGCACTAAATGCAGACACCGTTCGCTGCATCTGAACCAGGAGTCTGGACACCTTGGCTAATTACTGACACCAGAAGTCGTTACTCCCAAGTTCTCTTCTCTTTATGCTACCGTGAATTTCCTTCCGTGGAGTGGGGACAACGGTAAAGGACTTGGAAGGATGAGGAAGTCACACGGGGTATGTCCACAGGACGGAAGGTGGGGGACGGCTTTTGAGGGTCACACACACACAATGACCAGCAAGTCTGTACATGCAGGCTTTGCCTTGAAGGCTGTCGAAATGCTCGGTCTCAGGACCAGGTGCGCAACCTACCAGATGTGCTCACAGGAAGCTGAATGTAAACAGGAATCTAATTAATAAAAAACATGTCACGGGCTTTGTTCACTGAAGGCCTGCAGGCCTTTGATTAGAGCGGGGGGGGGGGGGCCGTATGAGGCCTCCCGGTCACCCGTTCTGAAACTTCTCGCGCGGAATGGCAAGCGTTTTGAAGCAAGGGCACCTGCTTGCCAGCATCATCGTTATGTGACAGCTTGAGGGACTGTTCTTGGCCCATGTCCCATATACTCTGCAGCCTGAGCACAGGGTTCTTGAGCAAGAGGTGCACTCTGGGAAAAAGAAGGCACAGCCAGCCACACACAAAGGCACTTGGGCAGTTGAGGAGATACATTCAGGATAGGGATTCGACTGTTTAGTTACAAGTCACTTGGTGATCACCTTGTCTCGGGTTCAGTCCTCATACTATACCACAGAAATGGGGATGGAGATCTAAAGACAGGTTAACATACAAACCCACCGCTCCGATGCTGAGACCGGAGACTGCACCTCGCTACTGGGTGGTTTTGTCTCTCTTTTTTTTTTTTTTTTTTTTTTTTGTTGTTGTTGTTATTTTTTAAAACATCTCTTTTACCACAAGCATCAGAGTTAACGCTTCCTTATGTCACACAGTTACTGGAACTCAGGGGTATGTGTCCAGCCCTGGAACAATGCCTGGCACATAGTAGAAGCTCATTAAATATTTGTTGAATGAATGAATGAACACACCACCATTACATAGAGAAACGCTTCGGAACCACAAGAGTTGATTGCTCGAGTGATTGATTGCTCGACAGTCAGGTAAGGGGTAACAGTGGCCGGATCTGCCCTTCCTTGCTCACAGTAAAGTTCACATGCTTGACAAGAGCCGAGAGAGATTCTGATGACATAACAGGATATCAGAAGAGGGGACAACCACATCTGTCTTGTGTGCAGACACACACGCGTACATACATAAATATAAAGACTGGGAGGCAAAGGGAAACCCTGGGACCAATTGCTCTCCTACCCCTTGGCTCAAGAACACCCTCACACTGTGGGTATACCCAGAGAAACCCATCAGCTGTTGCTGAAGAGTTTGGTGCTAAGTGCTACGCAAGCCTGTAAGTCAGCCATTCCTGAGCTCACACAGCTGCAGGCACCTTATTTCCCACAAGCATCAAAAGCACAGAAGGAGGATTGGGCATGAATCCCAAGTCATCCCTGAGTTTCTTAAATATGACCTCAAACTTCAGCTTTGGGAGCAAGACTGGAAGGTGCGGCCTCCCACCCCACCCTCCCGCCCCGCCCCGGCCCAGCCCGGGTGGGACATCGTGGCCTCTGTGGTCTCCGCTGCCCTGATTAAGTTAATTTGGTCATCAGTGCTGGAGACAGAATCCCAATGATGACAAGCCTAAAGAAAGATGCTCAGTGGAGGCAAAGGGGTAAAGTTCTAATGAGAGCCAACCCAGCAGAGACAGAGTGGGCGAACAGCGATCTGGGGCAGATACTAGGCTGAGGAGAACGACCCACGTGACTCACTTCTTTCCTTTCTGAAAGCACGAGTCTGGGCTTTGGCCTTACAAGTCTAAACCCCAAGAGATTTTTGTACTGCTTTTGCCACATTAAAGGCCAAACAAAACTCTGCTGAGAGGACATCAGAAGAAAAAAAAAAAAAGGATAAGCGCACAATTTCATTCTTTAAAATGCCAGGCGAGAGCGGACACTGGAATGTCCGGCGTCGGCTCATCCGCTCTGCTCTCCTCGCGGTCTCTCCGCCACCACCTCTCTCCGTTCACCTACTCGACGGCGCCTCCCGTGGGACGGCCTTCGAGCCTTCTTGCCCCCTTCCCTTTGAGACCTCTGACCTCTCATCTTTGAACTTTGCAGCTGTCATTCCTGCTCACCAGAATTTTATCAGCCATCTGCTGGATCTGTTGGGACTTTGTCTGGATGTCATCCTTCAGTCTGTTTTCTCTACGCTCCATGGTCTCTAGCCTCTTTACCTTGTTCTCCAGAGAATGGCGGCGTTCCTGTAGGTCGTGAATCAATCAGAGAGTTTTAATGGAGCAACTGCTGTGGGCATACCACCTGCGCTGAAGGAAAGAGCCCTCGAGAGGCAGACACTCTGAGGTCGGGAAGAAGGAAAAAAAAAAAAAGATCTCGGGCACCCGAGGCAATGGCGACTCTAGAATTCAGGTGCTCGGCTGTGTGGGTTACAAGAGTGCATTCATTCATTCAAATATTTACCAAGCACCTACTATCTGCGAAGTTCCACGCCAGGCATCATGGGAAAGACAGAAAGGGAGAGGATGTCACCCTGCCCTCGGAGAAGATAAGACAAACAACAAACAAACGGGACACGGGTTAAGAGGGGGTGGGGAGCAAACAGGCACAAAGTACTGGGGGGACTGACGGGCGGGAAGGAGGACCTTTAGACGTACAGTTAAGGGTGTGAAGGGGCATGAGGTCTGGAGAGAGACGCTGAAGGGCAGCTTGGAGTGAGGTGGGCAGGTAAGGGCGTCCACACACAACAGAGAGAACGCTGGGGGTAAAGGCAGCGGTGGCAGGAGGCGATGGGAACCCGAGGCAAACCCAGACTGACCACCGCCTGCGAGGGTCGGGGTGAGAGCGAGTGAAGGGAGACCAGCGTCTGTGGGGCGAATGGCTGTTGCTCCACAGGGGTCGGTGTACCCAGCTTCCAGGGTGCACCTGAGCTCTACCAAGGCCCTCAAAGGCTGGGGGGGGGCAGGAGAACTGGGGGGGTCCACAAACCTCCTCCTATGTGAGTCAGGCGGGGAGAAGGCAAGATTGGGAACTGGAGATCAGAGAACCACAGCATCTGCTTAACTAATGGGAAAGGGGTCCGCACCATGCGTGGCGGAGGCTACAGAGGGGGATACGCTTTGTTCGGACTCGGTAACGCCACTGTCCCGGACTAGCAGGTTATGCCAAGGTTTCAAGGGTGGGGCAAGCAGGAGAACGCTGGTGGCCCCAACCGGCATGAAGAGACTAAGAACGGAAAGGCAGCTTCTGGAGACATACTGCGGTCACACACACGCTTGGGATTCCAGGGCAACAGTGGGAAACAGCCAGGAAGTCGCGTGAGGAGGGCGGGCCCCAGACAGCAGCGCATAGGCAGAGTCACATGCAGGCTATGGTGGGGAAGTGGAAAGGCCCGGGGCAGACACACACGACAGCGAAAACGGATTATGTCACAGTCAAGTCTGTGAGACAAACACCGAATGAGGGGGGCAGAGAGGCGGAGACAGGTGAAGGAGTCTCGCTGCGGACTCTGTCTGCACTGTTTAAGTTTTGACAGTGAAAAGCCACTGGTATTTTCAGTATAATTATAAAAATGATTTCAACAACAACAACAACAACAACAAAGAACCTGACTGAGAAAAGGCCCAACACACAGGCCCAGAGTCACTGACAAGGGTAGCCGGCAAAGCCGTGGAGAACGACCTGTTGCATCCACACTGTGTTAGAAACAGCAAAATGCAGGGAAGAGAAAGAAAACCTTAGAGCAGCGGCCGGCGGAGCCTAGAGAAAACAGAACCCAGATCAGTCCAGAGGCCAGAGGGGAGGCAGGCAGGACAGCCAGTCAGGCATTGCTCACCTCAGAGCGGCTGGGACAGGCTGGAAGGGATCTTCAGAGGGGAAGAGTTTGGCCAAACATGACTTTTACAGTTTCTTTGCCTCAGCACAACCAAGGTCAGCCGGGGTTAGATGGCCTGGGGCTGAGGACAGGGCCCCCACTCACCTCGGCTTCGGCCAACTTCTTTTTGATGCCCTCGGAGGAATCTTCTCGACTGTGCAACTTCTCCAGCTCTCTCTCGGCTCGCTCCTTTGCCTGGCGGATGTTCTGCAGGAGCTCAGTGGCCTCCGTGCTGGCTTTCACAGCCTGGCAGGAGAAGAGGGGACAGGACATAGGTGTCTACGTGTATTCAGAAAAACAGCAAAGGCCAGTGGCGCGGAACACATCAGATCCATTCTTCAAAACACACGTGTTCACTTGTTGCGTGTTCTGTATGTATTAGGTGCACTGTTTTCTAATGTCCCATGGTTACGATCGATGCACTTCTCTTTCTTGGGGTGAGTGGCAATCTTTTCTGTCTTCAATTCAGTGAGACACACAGACACACCAAACAAAAAGGTGCCCAGAATTAATCTAGCTCCTTCTGACTAATCTGCCTGTGGGAAATGTGTAAGCAATTACAACTGGAAAGCAAGGTCAAATGCTAGCTGAGTTATGACCTTTCAAAGACTATAATAGTCTCAGGTCTGTGACAATCGACAGGGTAAAAGGAGAGAAGGCTAAGCTGCTTAGTTTGGCCATTTATTGACTTTTATTTTGGTCTAACCTGCACTACAGCTTTTTACGGCACTGTGGATGACATCTGAATTTGGGAGACAGACAAAATGTAGACGTATAGTATATACACGTTTACATTTTATTTACACACACACACACACACACACACACACACACACACATATATGAAGCATCCTCATATGTAATGTGTATCGCTTGAAGTTTCAACAAGTGCAGCCAGTTGGCTGGTACAAGCCTGTGATCCCAGCATCTAGAAGGAGAATTATGAGTTCAGTGCCTGCCTGGGCTATATAGCAAGACTCTGGTAAAATTTTTTAAAAAGTGGAAACTGCAAGAAAACACCTATTCTAAGACCTGTGACATGTCAAATGGGAACTAGTGGCAGAAAATCCTTCATTTATTTATTTTTTTAAGCTAATTTTGTTAGTCAAATAGAAGGAGACTCATTGGATGGCACAGACTTCCGAGGGTAAATGGTGAAGATTTCCCAGGGATGCGTCATCCAACCCATGGATGTGCTTAGTGACTTGGAAATACAGCGCCACAGCTATGGGTACCACAGCACATTTTTAAAGAAGTGAAAACTGTCCTTATTAAACCAACCAGCAAGCGTGTGCACAGACATGTGCATGTCCCTCTGCCCTTCGGCTGGGCCCTTTTGGTGTCCAGCTAGAGAAGTCTTGGAATTGTGGAGAGTGGACCTTAGCCATCCCCATCACAGAAAACAGAGAGCAGGAGATGCTAATTAGCCTGATCACAGCACAACTGAATGCACACATCAGAACACCATTCTGTACACTACAAATATGGCTTTCATTGGTCAGTTACTCCTTAATAAGCTAAAGCAGGGTCTGCCAACAAAAAATTTTAAAGTGCAAATGAGGCAGGGCCATTAGCACAAATATTGCCAGTACCTCCCCCCCCCACCTCCACATACACAATTAAACCATAACACCAGGGAGCCACCAACAGTCTCCAGAGAAGGGGTCTGTCATAGCCCTGGTAGAGAAGGAGCCAGGCTTCCCCTACAAATATGCTAAATGAGAGCCTGCCCCCCCACACACACTCCCACCCCCCTATCCCTCACCCCACCCCCCCATCCCCACCCCCATGGCACTAGAAGGTGCCTTTGGAGCCTTTGGGTTTCTGTCTCAGAGTCTCACACAAGTTTGGTTTAAAAAAAAAAAAAAATCTTGCCACCACGTTCCAAAAGGAAAACTTAGATCCCAAACCCTGGTATCAGAGTACCAGTGCGCACACCCTCCATCGTCTTCGCTGCCGGTGACTGACAGCTCCTCTCATCTTTACTGCCCCGGGTGGGGTAGATAGGGGAATGGGGAGACCCCTCACAACCCTCTTGGCCAGACCTACCTTTTCCAGCTTCTCCTGGAGCTCTTGGATCTTGAGCTGCTGCTCGGCATTGATCTACAATTAGAGCCGGGACAGAGAACAGACAGCGATCAGAGCCTGCGTCTCGCTACCTGCAGCGTGGTCCTCTGGGGTTTGCCTTCTAGAACTTACTAGCACAGGACACTGGCCTGCCTGCGTGGGTGTGCCGCAACATGAAAGCGCAGCAGCACATATGAAGAGAGAGTTGCTCAGCGCCTTAACACAATAGAAAATTTACCGCGGGCCTGGGTTTGTGTGTTACTGTGGTGAAGTACGACCCCTCCCCCACCCCACCCCAAAAAAAGAAGAAAGAGACAGGAAGGAAGAGAGTGTTTTGGGTAGGCATGGTGGCATGCTCCTGAAGTCCCAGCACTTGGGAGATGGAGTCAGTAGGATGCGTAGTATCTGTCATCCTCAACTGTACAGCGAGACTAGACGCATGAAACTCTCTTTTTCTTAGTGTGGTTCTTTAGAACCACAGCTAAATCTTGACATGGACATTCAGAAGCCATTAAAATGTAGGGGCGTGAAGCACAGCGTAGCAGTGACAGGTGCACGCTTGCATTCAATCCCCCCACTCCCCCCCCACAAAAATAAATAAATAAAATACGATAGCTGTCTCTACCAAAGTAAGTACTCTTATGTGGTAAGCAATCACCGATGATATTCCAAAAACATTTGTTCCAAACAGTAAACCCAATCACAGAATACACACCTTCTCAAGTTTGGAATATTCTCCCACTTCAGGCTTCCCCTGGTCCTTAGCCTGTGGGTAAGAAGACATAGGACGCATTGGAGAATCTCAACAGCCTGCATACAACACCTGTTGTACTTCCTTGGTCTCTGCGACCGACATTACAACAAACAATAATAATGTTATCTACAAATGAAGACGGGGGGTTTCTCACAGAGTCTCATTTCGTCTCCAACCTACACTCACTGAGCCAGCGTGGCCTTGCATCTTGTGAAGGTCATCCGGGTCCGTGCCCCCAAAGTCCCCTCTTGGAGGGTGGCTGACTACCTTCATCAGTTTGTGCTGACATTCGGTTGCCTTCCGCTTGAATTCCTCAGCGGCAAGCCGAGACTCTCTCAGCTCAGATTCGTACAGATCGCTGCGTCTCCGGGCAGACACAAGGTCCTCTTCCAACTGACTCATCATTAGCCTCATTTCTTCCACCTGAGCCTGGTACTCCTAAAGAGCGGGCAAAGGACGGAAGATGAACCCGGGGACACCACAACAAAGGGTGGGCAGTGAGGATGGAAGTGAGCGTGAGCGGAAGAAACGCGTCAAAGGACAGGTGGGCAGAGAAAGACGTGAGCGGAGTCATCTGAAACAGAGGCAAAGTGGAGGGGCATTTGGAGACGGGGAAGAGGGAAAGGGTGTTAAATTGCTTCATTGCAGAACGCGTGTGTCCAGTGACCCCCCCCCACAAGGAACACGCGTGCTGCTGAATCAGACTCTGAGCAAACAACCACACCAATTCAGAAAACCCCAGGGATGAGCAGACACTCTGAGCGAGCTTTGTCTGAATGAAGATGGTACTGTGTGCGTGGTTCTCTTCCAAGGGTGTTTGTTTCTATGGATTTGTCCTTCGGATGCCACGTGACCCTAACCCAATTAGATATGGTACTAGCTTTGAAATTAACCTTTCAGACAGCCCCAGCGGATAATTGGAAACCTCGGAAGAAATCATCTGGCAAGGTGAAACTCATCATCGTCAGTTTCTCACCATTAATTTTTCTGGGCTCAAAATGGAAGGTTGAGCTTAGCATCGTCCCTGCAATGCAAGTCACCCTGAAATCTGGAAGAGTCGCAAAACGCTGTACCGAGACAAAATAACTTGCAGGGGAGAGAAAAAAAAGTTTCCCCAAGAAAAATTTTCTTGTTCGCTGAAGCAAAAAGCCTCAAAATGATCCAAACAGTCCGATGTTTTCCAAAATGAATCTTAAAACCAAACCAGAACATTTGAATCAAGGCTTCCCACCCCCTACCCACCCACACACACACACACACACAATGAGATTTACCAGAAGAAACGGGCAACAGCCTTGAAACTTGGGAGCCAAGTATAGAAAGAGTCTTCAGTAGCAAAATCAAGGCTAAAGTATGATGCCCTGGCTAACGTGGGCAGGATAGGATGAGGCAGGTGATACAGGAGAAGGACAAGAGATTAAGCCAGCACTGTCTTTGGCATCCATAAACTCCGGTGACATCTGCAAGGTGAGGCGTCTACCGAGACAGGATGTTGGCTGCTGTGTCTCAGTTCGGCATACTGCAACTTACACTTGGGTTATTTTGTTTTGTTGCTAGAGATGCGGGGCCCTAACTTAGCATGTGCTGGGTAAGTGCTTGGCCACAGAACTACAATCCCAGTCACACTGTAATAGAATATATATATATATATTCTCTCCCTCTCTCTCTCTCTCTCTCTCTCTCTCTCTCTCTCTCTCTCTCTGTGTGTGTGTGTGTGTGTGTGTGTGTGTGTGTGTGTTGCATGATTCTGGGGATGCGCGTGCTACAGCTTGCATGTGGAAGTCAGAGAACATTTTCCAGTCAGTCAGCTCTCTCTCCCACCACATGGGTGCTGGATTCAAACTACAGTCAGCGTGCTTGAGTGGCAAGTGCCCTTTAATGACTGAGCCATCTGGCCGGGCCCACTTTACCCTTCCATAATAGCAGGGTGTTAGGTACCTGTCTGAGCTCACTGTAGCAGATCCTCACCCAGCAGACCCTGGGGAGGCAGGGTTACGAAATCTGCACAGAGTTCGGGTAGCAATGATCACCCTCCATGGGGGAGGGTAAGCCAGAGGCGGAGCGTGGATGTCGCAACACTCCCTCCCCCCAGCAATGCACTGTTTAAGTTGATTAAAGGGAAGAATTGAACCACGTATGAGCACATTGCTGTAATCTGACACAGAGGCGGGAGAATCCCAAGTTGAAGGCCGGCCTGGGCTACGTGTAAGAGAAGATTAAAATATTTGAGTATTATGTGATTACCACTCCAAATGACTTTCCCATGTCTGATGTGTCATTGTGCCACCTTAAAAGCACAGTGGTCCCCTCTCCCCAAGCCTGCTGTGTGGAAGGTTAAAGAGGAGCCTCCAGCAGGCAAGACCCTTCATGGTGAGAAGAGCAAAGACCTAGGTCTCTGGCATGTTTTTGTCCTTAAACTCTTCTCTACAAAAAAAAAAAAAAAGTATGCCATTTACCATTTATTTGTGTGTGTGTGTGCGCATGCCATGGTGTGGCCTGTGGAGGTCAGAGGATAAATGTAGGAGTGGGGTTTTTCCCTCTATTGTGTGGGTCCCAGGGATCAAACCCAGGTCTTCATGCTTGTGGGCAAGCACCCTCACCCACGGGGCCATCTCACCAGCCCTCAAGCTCCCTTTTCCTCGTCAAACTTGTAAAGAGAATGTAATGCTTGTGTTTTCCCAGAGAAAGGGCAAAAGCAGCTGCCCCCTACCCTGATGCCTCAGTTTCCTGAGCTGCCCTCAGTGGGAAGGAAGATCAGCACCAGGGACAGCCCCTCCGGCTCCTGGAGTCCTGGCTGCTCTTCTGTTATGATGGAGACTCCAGGGAACTGAGCAGGGCCAACTGCTCAGCAAATCCCTGGTTCCAGAGGGGACTGAGGGAAGACCGTAGGGTCTGACTGCATGGGCAGCTAACAAAGCTGCTGCTGCTCAGCATGGAACTGACTCAGGCACTGAGATGGATGGGTCAGGACGGAGAAACAGAGACAAGAACTGTCCATCTACTACAGCAAGTCTTCCACCCAGAGCCTCGGACCCAACTGGTCCTATTCCCCAGAAGTCCTGGGAGGCACAAATGATTCCCAGAAGAACTGTCACTCTTCTGTGGTGTTGGAGTCAAACCATGAGAAGGGCCTGCTCCAGAAGAAATAACTGGGTAAAAACACAACTAAGAACAAAAAAAAAAAAAAAAAAAGCTGGCTTCCGAAAGGAAAATCTGGAGACTCATCCTAAATCCACGAGAAGCCAGTGTGCCAAAAACTAAATACTACGTGTTTGCCATAAGCCTTAAGCGCATTCTATGTCTACAAACATCCCTCGCCTACAAAAAGCACGCCTTGTAAAACATATCCTTCTCTAACGAGAAGTAAAATCCAGAACCCAGAAGTTTTCTCTGGCCCCGTCGGAACTTCTGCCAGCCATTAAATCTGAAACTCTGCATGCACGCCAGCTGTAATGTGATTCACAAGAGACAAGGCTTTGAAGTCACAGAGGAACAGAGCTTTCCAAAACGTCCTGGTGGGTTAGTTCTCTTCCTGTGGAAAGCATGGACACCAGCTGCTCCCTCTGCTGGCCAAAGGTAGCTTTCATTTCCCCAGGATGTCCCCAAAATTAATTTCTGAACACAATGAACTGATGGGAGATAAAGAGTCCTTCCTCCTGCAACCTTCGGGACTTAAAAAAAAAGAAAGAAAAGCTATGTTGATGAAGCGGTGTGAGTCACCTGTCCAAGCAGAAGTCTCAGCTTCAGAGCCTCCCAGGAGACACCGTGCAGAGCCGTGATGACCCATTTGCAAAGTTCCCCATACATATTTATTTATAATGTTCCGACACAGTGGGAGGGTGTCCGCCCACCATTTAGAAAAACATTGAAGCCAGGCGATGGTGGCGAACACCTTTAATCCCAGCACTCAGGAAACGGAGGCTGGTGGATCCCTGTGAGTTCAAGGCCAGCCCAGTCTACACAGCGAGTTCCAGGACAGCCAGGGCTACACAGAGAAACCCTGACTCAAAAAAAAAAAAAAAAAAAAAAAAAAAGAACCTGAGATAAGCTGAGCTGAGATGGCAGGAGAGTATGCCAACAAACCTCCCGCGATGATCCTCATTTAAAGAATAGCTAACGGGTTGAGCTATCTGCAGGAGTTTCTGGGACTTTCTTTCACTTGAGCACCCAGATGGCCAAGTTTTGCACTACCCGGAGAGGAAAACGCTCTCCCATCAGTGGTCCCATTAGGGTTTCCTGAAGTGAATGAGTTGCCTGGCAGCTGATAATTCAGCTCTCCAATTACTCATTTCCATCTCTTCATTAAAGTTTCTATTTACAGTATCTTCAGAAGACAAAAAAAAAAATCCAAGCTAAAAAGAAAACAATGAGTCGATGTAAAAATGAGCCTCCAGAGAGAAACCCTTTTAGGAAAGGGAGGGCCGTGGGGGGGGAGGCCGTGGGGGGTGCTGTTTAAAGGTCTCTGTTCTGTTCTCTTTTGGAAACTCGGGGGACGGAGTTTGTGTACTCAGATTTGCTGTGTTAATTCTGACTGCTCTCCATGCCTCAAACTTTTCTTCAAGGGTGTGTGAGTGTGTGTGTGTGTGTGTGTGTGTGTGTGTGTGTGTGTGTGTGTGTGCGCCCGAGCGTGCGAGCATGTGTGCCCCCAAGACCTTGTAGGAAACTGAATGATCTTGGTCTCTTAACAACAGAAAGTGCATCTGAAAAGCTATAAAAATGCTGAGTTCTTCTAGGGCCGTCCAAAGAAGTGGTTGGTAAGCGTCTGATAAAAAGGCAGAGTAAGCAGCTTTAGCTTTAAGACACCCTGAAAACCTCTCACTCATACCTCTGTTGCATGGAGGCCGCCATAAATGAAATGAGCATAAGTAAAATACATCTTTATGTGAACTGAAATTTGAATTTTAAAAAATTACATGTCACAAAATATTTTGTTTTTTCTTTTTTGTCTAATCACTTAAGAACATAATAAAAGTCACTCTCGGTCTGAGAGTGACAGGAAATCGGTAGGAGGCCAGATCCGTCTGTCCCCTAGGCTGGTCTGCTCGCTTTATTCTTTATTAAAAGCAGTAGATATTATGAGTTGGGGGGGTCTCCAAAAGGAGCAGAACAAGTAAGCTGCTGTGATCTGTATGACCATAACCACGGAGGAGCTAAAGATCCCACATGACCCGCCCGCCTGTATCCCTTATGTCCTCCGTCTCTGTCCGCACCCAGCGGGGCCGCTGGGCTCTGAGTGAGCGGTCCTACCTGCTCCTTGATCTCTTGGAGCTTCCGGCTCTGCTCTCTGATGTCGTGGAGAAGCTGGAGCGCTTTGTCGTCCTCCTGGGACACCTCCATCCGCGCTTGTTCCAGACTTCGCTTCAAACTCTGCGGAGAGCAAAGATTTTAATGGGGATGCCGTGCGGGCCCTGTTCTGTTTGAAACGGCTGCAAGCTGCTTCCGAGACATCGGGACGGTTTCGGGTGACAGACCAAAGGCGATAACTCCAAGCGGTTGGGTCCACTTCTCACCCTGCAAACGTCACTTGCTGGAAGAAAGGTCATCGTGAGCTCACAACCTTACGGGCCAAGCCTGGGACTCTACCAGCTAGTCACCTGGCATTGTCTACATATCTTGGCAGGTACTTACTTGTATGTTCAGGACTAGAAACCAGTAAGATCCTGTGTCTGTTAGAACCACCACCTCCACGGCTGGCTAGTGTATTCTAGACTATCAAAAGCTCTTCCGGACTCTGAAGTGCATATGTCTGTTTCAGAGAAGCAACAGCTCCACCGTCTGCCCAGCAGCCATTTCAGAGTCCGGCTGACTATCTGACTCCTGGCTAGCCTCCTAGATGCCTATCCTCCGTCAGTTTCCCTCCGTGCTTCAATGGCACTGATAGAGACATCTGAAAGGCACAGCTGAATAATGTCACCCGCCACTGAAAGACAGCCAAGCCTGGAACACAAACACAGCAGTCATAGTCTATAGGTTTCCTCGCCCTTGTGAAACAATAACAACAACAAAGAAAACCTTTCCTTATAAATGTGTGATTCAACCTCTTCAGATTGTTTAACTGGGCACATTAGAAAAACACCTGAATGAAAAATCCCACAAGACAATGGAGAAGACAGTCTACTCTTGTGAAGGAAAAGGGATAGATAGATAGATAGATAGATAGATAGATAGATAGATAGATTAAATAAATAAATGGAGTCGTATGAGAAATAATGACAGAGGGTCTGGATCGCAAAGGCTCGATTTCCTTGGCACTACAATGCTTCTAAGAGAATAAAAAAATTGATTTCCAACGAACTCGAATTAAGTTTTCTGGTACAGATTTGGGAGTTCAGTCCTCGAGGCTGATCATGCAGACACAGTGTAGACCACAGAGGTCGGGACAGGAGATGTTGAGAGCCCTCTGCAGAAGGCTTCAGTGACAGATGAGTCCCATCTGCAGGGTCTGTGGTGCCCAGCAGCCCGTGTGGGCTTTTCTGCTAAAAACCGGTTTCTTCCTCGGGGACCTCCATACCTGGCTCCAGCTCCTCTGCCAATCACAATCACAGATCTTGCCCCCCCCCCCACACTCTGTCTGTCTCTACTCTCTGCCATTGGCTGTGATGTGCCTCGTGGAGCTGTCATGAAACAGGATGAGACACACACCACACACGACAGGAAATGCCACCTCCGAGGGAAGGGGGCTTTGGGGAAGGCTCACACTGCACTCTGTGATGTAGGTGGCAAGGTCCTGCTCCAGGAGGGATCTCTGAGTCTCAGAGGCCTTCAGCTCCACCTCCTTCTGACTAAGTACAGCCTCCACCTCTGATACTCTCCGATGTAAGCGGGTCATTTCCTGCTCCATCTGAAATAAACACACGGAGGGGTTAAGAGGGCCCAGGGAGGTTCCGTGGGAGCAAGCGCATCTCAAGCAGGTCCCTAGGCCACCTGGTGGCCTGGGGCCAGGGGACGGGGCAGGTGGAGGGGTTACCGCTAATTCACCAAGAGCTGGGGTGGAAATACCATGGCTTCTTCGCCCAGGAGCATACAGTTCTTCAAAAGGACAGTCACCAAACGCTAGGTCACTCCTGTCATCCAAGCCCCGCTCCGCACGATCACGTCTCTAACCCACCATCGTCATTTTGTAACCGTTTTTGCTTTTTTTTTGCTTGTTTGTTTGTTTCTGTTCTGGTATTGGATTGGCTTACACGGATGTCACTTTAATGTTACCCTAAATCCATCTTGGTGCCCCCCATCTCCTTGCAAAGGTCTAGAGGACAGATCCAGGACAAGGCCGAGAGGTAAATTATTCGTCTGCACTCCTAGGAGTCCCACACAAGTGGTGGTATCTATTAAGTTTTCAGAGAGTTGCCTCTGGGCAGGAACAGTGAGTGAGTATTAAGAGACGTTGAGCATAATCAACACAGTGGCCGCAGTGACAGAGGCAGGACTTTTAAAAGACTAGGAAGAGAGACTTCGCCTCACTCCGAGCAGATGGGATGCATCTCAGCCACAGGCGAGGACCCAGGCCCACCTGCCTGAAGAAGCAGACATCAGGCTGGGTCATGCTGAGACTCGGGCCGGGCCGGGCCGTTTTAAATCCAGGGCCTCCTCTGGTTAAGATTTAAAGGATTTACAGCAAAGTCTAGGCCCGAATTCATCTCCCTCTGAGCTGCTGGAGGTGCGACTTCGGCGAGGGAGGCTGCACCTCGCTCTCTATGGATCAGGAGGCTCAGTGCCAGCAGAGGCCCCAGGCGGATCCCTTGGCATACACTGGCGGGAGGATCCTGGAGCAAGGACGGAGGCCGGCTGCGGAGATAAATACCTTGTGACACTTGTCCTGAGAGTCTTGCAGCTCTTTGCTTTTGATGAGAAGTTTCTTTTCCATGGAGCTAGTCTTGGCAGGGGAGTCCAGACCCGACACAACAGACCTAAACATGAAAATAATAATTAAAAAAAGGCAAGTGGTATCCACGTCAGCCTGGGAGCCGCGTTCACACGATGCAGCAGAACTGCCCACATTCTGCTCAAGAACCTTCTGGCGGCAGTAAAACCATGGGGCAAGGAGGTAGAAGGTAGGCTGTGGGGGGGTAGACATGCCGAGGACTCAAGGGAACCTGGGGCCCAAACTGGCTTCTTGGAGCCTTGGTCGGCACAGCCATCTGCAATGATGAGAACATAGCCCACGCACACAAGAAAGTGTGAGCATTCATCACACAGCCCCGGCCTGGCCCGGGTCCCCTTGCTGATACATTCAACAGCAAGCAGGGCCCTGCTCCTCCCGGAACTTTTGTCCCACGGAGAGCAGACAGGGTACATCACGGAGACTCAGAAACAAAAAGTTTACAGCTGAGAAAGACTTCCAGAGGAGGAATGGGGGCATGATACAGAATAAGTGAGGCTGGGACCTGTTTTAGTTTAGAGAGGAACATGTGTGTCCCGGGAGGGCTTAGGGAAGGCCGCATTTGAGACCTGAAGGGTGAGGAGCTTCTGCATGCACAAGGACCTAGAAGGAAAGAAGCTGCCAGCACAGGGGATGGCAGCCATGCCGGTCCTGGGGCAGGACAGCTGTGACTGAGTGGTTTTAGCAAGGGCACACTATCAAGTTCTGTCTGTCCCTCCCCCAAGCTAGCGAGTTCCCCCCGTTGTTTTCTGGAAACAGCTCGCACTTATGGTGGCGAGCCAAACAGAGCTCTCACTCCCTTCCCCGAAGATGCTGAGGTGCAATCCGGAAACCAAGAAGACCACTCGTGAACAGACTCGGTAGCTGTGATTAAGTCAATGATCTTGAAACGCAGGGATTACCCCGGATTACCTGAAGAGGGTCATTAGCCTCATACAAAGGTCCTCATAAGACAGAGGTGTGGGGGACAGAAATCCAAACTCAGAGGCAGGGCCCAGGGCCAGAGATTTGAATATGCTACACAATGGCTTACAAGACCAGTGAGGCTGAGGAGGGGTGTCTCAGTGGGGAAGATCGGAGTTAGAATCCCCACAGCCCACATAAGGAGCAACACAGGAGTGTGTAGGTGTAACCCAGTATTCCACAGCAGGCCAGGGAACAGAGACAAGAAACTCCCTGCAAGTTCCCAGGCCTACGGAGCAGCCAAGTAAGAGACCTATCTCAAACCAGGCAGAGAGCAAGGACCAACACCCAAGGTTGTAGCCCATCCTTCACACCATCCGCCATGATGCGCGCAGTCGTGCACACACAGACCATACACAGACATAAGGAAGAGGAGCCACCAGCCGCCGAGCCACAAACAGGTGGACTCTAGGAGCTGGACAAACAAGAAGGCTGACCTCCTTAAAGCCTACCGGCAGAGCGCAAGTCTCATCTGGGCTGACTTCAGTCCAGAGAAACTCACCTAGGACTTCTAACACCCAGAACTGCGAGATAGTAAGTGTGCGTTCGTTTACGTCTCTGGGGTGTATACTGACTTGTTACGGCATCGACGTGAAACTGGTCCGCTCACTGAGTGCTAGACGTGTTTTAATTCTGTATTCCCCACAACTCTCTGAGGCAGACACAACTCACCATCCCCATGTTTACACAGGAGGGGCGTGAAGCCAGGAGAGATTCGGGAACACACGGTTGACAAATGGTTCCTGTTAGTCTATAGGAAGCGAGAGAATGAATAGAGAATGAATGCCTGGATGCACCTGATGTCATGCTCGTGGAAACATCAGGAAAACCGCGGCGGGAAGGGGATGAGAAGGGCTGTCTCACACACACACACGCAGGTGTCCCGGGGCTAACCACGGATGAAGATGTGATTGGGTTCCTTGGTGGGGGTTTAAACACTGGGTGAAGGACGAAGCCAAGGCCACAGCAAGCAAAGGTTCTTACGAGTGGAGGGACACAGCGGTGCCAACCGCTGTCCCACAGCCCTGTCTTCGTTGCCTTGGTAACAGGACTGTGGGAGCTGCTTACCGAGGCTCGGGTCTTCCCAGCAGGTGAAAGTTCCGCTGTGCGCTGCCCCAGACTACTCCTCCGCCCCCTGCAGCAATGTGGGACACCTCTCTGCTACAGTTGCCAACTCAGGGACAGGGTGGGGTGACTGTCTCTATGCTCCATGGCATGCCAGTGAGTCAACATTGAGAACCAGGCTGCTCTGGGTACAATGTGACCCAGCACCTGCAAGCTGTGTGCCTCCCTGCACCTCAGGCTCTTCACCTGTAAAATGGGGCTAATTCTCAAATCACTTTGGCGTCCTCAGGACAATTCAGTGGGGCGGCGCACATGCACACGTAGAGCCCTAGCCCCAAGCACAGCCCCGGCACACTGAGGGCTTGGCAAATGTCAACCATTACTATGACTGTTGCCATTTTTATTACGATCCCTGTAAATTTGCAAATAGCATATGCCTCACAGTCCTAAAACAGTTGCTTGAAATGGTAACATTCAGGGGGCTGAGTGTGCCGTGTGCTATTGGTCACATTCAGACAAACATGATTATTCATAGGAATGGGCAACAAGGATTAAAATCCAGAAATAAGTCCCCCTTTTTTTTTTAACTCTCACATTGGGCTAGAAATGTTAACACTCCTGACAAGCCTATATTCTAGCCAAAATACACACTCGAGCACACATGTGCACACTCACGCCCACGCGCACACACCCTCTTCCTGCCTTCATAGGGAGGGATTGCTTGGGGTAGCCTTGCAGAGAGGAGCCCCAGGCCGCCTGAGGAGGCAGAGATGGTCCCTGGTCCTTTAGTCATCCAGGGTCACCCATGCATCACAAAGTAACACCCGAAACAACACAGGCCACAGCTCTTTGCACCTGGGCATGAACTGGCACCCTTTAGAAAAACAACTGCCCGGGTTTTGTGATGGTGGAGTGTGATGCGGCTCACAAAACTGAATGACACACGGAGGGCGAGGGCGGGCGGGCTCCAGCAGAGCTTAAGCACTAATGTTGGCTGGTGCAGGCACAAAACAGGTTGCTTATTCCCCAAAAAAGAAAGAAAGAAAAGGCGTTTCTAGGCCACTGGTTAATAGGGCCCAGGATCCAGCAGATGAGTACTCACGGCGGACAATGCAGCCGTCACCTAAGTCCACTCACTCTGCTGTTTTGATGCCTGACAAATGTTCACATTTGAGAGTTCTAAGCACGGCAATTAAGAGCTCTTCAGAATGAATATGCTAGAGAAACCTTTCTTTTTTTAAAGAATAAATAAAAATCACATCTAAAAAAAGCTCTGGTAGGAATGCTGTGACTAAACTCAGCCTGTAGCAACAACTGTACAAACAATGGGAGGGGGTGGAGGGCGGGGTCATCGAAGCTTTGGGCGAAGTCCTGTGCCTCACCCCAGGTGAATATTAACATCACCTGGACGCGGAGAGCTTGCAGCCACGGCTGGGGGCAGGGCCCACCCAGACCAGTTCAAACCCGGCAGCCACTGAGGACTCAGCCCGGCATTGAACCCATCATGACTTGGAAGGATGGTCGGGATTGGAACCCAGAGTGCTAATGAGAAGGTGCTCCGGCTTCAAGTCTGGGCTTTCATGGGGCTAAGTCTCGGCATGTGCTCCCATGTGGCACCTTGGTCCTATGAGGACAGCACTCTGTGTCACTCTTTGAGTGGGAACTCGGTTCTGAACTTCAGAACAACTGCAAGGGCTGGACAATGGCTAAGAACAGCATTCCAAGCCGTCTAATACATATGTATATGTATTATATGATATATATACATTTAATACTTTAATACGTATACATAGCTTTAGCTATGTGGCATATGTATACACATGTATACCATGGCTACTCGTGTAGAGCATTGGACAACCTTAGGCTCTTTCCCTCCTCTGTGTGGGTTCCGACAATCAAACTCAAGCCACCATGCTTATGTACCGGCTCAGCCGGCATTTCGCTGGCCCAGCGTTGTTTCTTTAGGACAGGGTCTCACTACACCGCCTAGGCTGGCCTTGAAGGGCGGGATCACAGGCACGTGCCATGATACCCAACTCTGTGAGTTAATTATGTTATATCATCTCCGTGGGTCTCTAGGGGAAGGGAAACACACAATAAAGCCAGGTATAGCTCAGGACACTTGTGTGCTATTCTATTCATCTTTCATACGGCTAAGGCAACTCAATCCACAGTATCAATGGCAAGCTTCAATGGTTGAAAGGTTTTCCAAACTTTGTGTGTATGACTGTTTTGCCTGAGAGAGTCTATGCACACCGGGGACACGCAGAGGCATGAAGAGGCCAGAAGGGAGGGCAGCAGATCTCCTGGAGCTGGAGTTAGGGGTGGTTGTAAGAACCATGTGGGTTCTGGGAACCAAACCTGGGTCCTCTGCAATAGCAGCAAATGCTCTTAACCATGGAACCCACACTCCAGCCCCCAAATATGCATTTCTTAATGCAGCATACCCGCGTGCCCCAACAAACATCCTGAAACATTATCCCAGTTCGTTTTCTCTAGGACGGTCACCAAGCATCTTTCTGACTTCCAAAAGTGGCGGGGAATGGTGGCTGACGGTGGTGGCATTTCCTGGCACAGACCATAGTGTGAACCTCAGCTTGAGAGGCCTCATCCAAGCTCGCCTGACAGCAACCAAACCATCACATCACACACCACGGTTGTTCAGACAAGTCGCCAGTCTGAGGCCTCCTAAAGCTCCAGTATGGCGTTGTTTAAAGGTTATGTTGTAGAAGAAAAGTGCAAACACCAGAACAAGACCACTTCTCTACAGGGGTCTCCGTCAGGGTTCCGAGGCCATAGCGTGTGCCTGCGGCCCAGACCTGCAGGGAACCAGTGAGGAAATCAGACATACATGCAGTAAAACATTCAACATACGTAAAAGTAACGGGATAAATTTACTTCTAAAAGAAAGCTTAATCCTCTCCTACAGCCCAGTGGCTCTTCCCCAGGATACATTTGGTGAGGGTGGGGTGGGGGTGGAGGGCACATTGAGGGAGAAGT